ACCGAGCGCCAGGTCAAGGTTTGGTTCCAAAATCGCCGCATGAAACAAAAACGGCAACGCCAAAACCGCGAAACGCCCGAAGAGGAACCCCCCAACCCCGGCCTGGATGAGGGAAGCGACCCCGCCGAGGAACCAGAGGGTTCTCCGGGTTTAGGCGCGGGTTTAGGCGCGGGTTTAGGCCCGGCTTTGGAGGGCGGAGGGATCGCGGGAGTTGATCCCGAGTCGCCCGCGCTGCCGGAGCTGAGGCTGAGCCCGGCTGAGCCCGGCTTAGAGGTGGCCCCGGGATTTTCTCCGGTAGCCCAGGGATTTTCTCCGGTAGCCCGGGAATTTTCTCCGGTAGCCCAGAGGTTTTCTCCGGTAGCCCGGGAATTTTCTCCGGTAGCCCAGGGATTTTCTCCGGTAGCCCGGGGGTTTTCTCCGGTAGCCCGGGGGTTTTCTCCGGTAGCCCAGGGGTTTTCTCCGGTAGCCCAGGAATCTCTGGAGAGCCCCCTGAACCTCTCCGAGGAGGAGTTGGACTTGTTCACCCGCGCGCTTTGTGCCATCGATCTGCAGAATTTCGCTTTGCAGTAGCGGGGGTTTGTCCGCTCCCGCCTAAGTCGGGTTTTATCTCCCGTTCCCGGCCCCATTCCAGCCCCAAATCCGACCTAAAATAACGGGGAACCCCCAAAAATCCGTCCTAGAAAATACGGGGTGCGTTCCCCAAAATCAACCCTAAAAGAAGGGGGAGTGACCCCAAAATCGGCCCTAAAAGAATGGGGAGCGCCCCAAAATATCGCTCTGAAAAAACGGGGAGCGCCCCCAAAATCCACCCTAAAATAAGGGGGAGCGCCCCCAAAATCCGCCCTAAAAGAAAGGGGGAACGTCCCCAAATATCGCTCTAAAAAACGGGGAGCGCCTCCAAATCTGTCCTAAAAGAAGGGGGAGCGCCCCCCAAATCTGTCCTAGAAAATACGGGGCGAGTTCCCCAAAATCCGCCCTAAAATAAGGGGGAGCGCCCCCAAATATCGCTCTAAAAAAACGGGGAACCCCTCCAAAATCTGTCCTAAAAAAACGGGGCACGTTTCCCAAAATCCGCCCTAAAATAAGGGGGAGCACCCCCCAAATCTGTCCTAAAATAAGGGGGAACCCCCAAATCCGCCCTAAAAAAAACGGGGAGTGACCCCAAATTTGCCCTTAAAAAACGGGGAGAGCCACCAAAATCCGTCCTAGAAAATACGGGGTGCGTTCCCCCAAATCCACCCTAAAAGAAGGGGGAGCGCCCCCAAAATCTGTCCTAAACGAACGGGGACCGCCCCCAAAATCCGCCCTAAAAAAAAAACGGGGAGTGTCCCCAAATATCGCCCTAAAAGAAGGAGGAGCGCCCCCAAAATCCGCCCTAAAAAACGGGGAGCGCCCCCAAATCCGCCCTAAAATAAGGGGGAGCGCCCCCAAAATCCGCTCTAAAACAAGGGGGAACCCCCAAATCCGTCCCAAAAAAACGGGGAGCGCCCCCAAAATCCGTCCTAAAAAGACGGGGAACGCCCCCCAAATCTGTCCTAAAAAAACGGGGAGCGCCCCAAAAATCCGCCCCAAAAAATAAGGGGAACCCCCCTCAAATCCGCCCTAAAAGAAGGGGGAGCGCCCCCAAATCTGTCCTAAAAGAAACGGGGACCGCTCCCAAAATCCGCCCTAAAAGAAGGGGAGCACTCCCAAATCCGCCCTAAAAAAACGGGGAACCCCCAAATCCGCCCTAAAATAAGGGGGAGCGCCCCCAAATCTGTCCTAAAAGAAGGGGGAGCGCCCCTAAAATCCGCTCTAAAATAAGGGGGACCCCCAAATCCGTCCCAAAAAACCGGAGAACCCCCAAATCCGCCCTAAAAGAAGGGGGACCCCCCAAATCAAGCTCAGGCCGTTTCTCGTTCAATCTCCTCCTCCCAATTCCTTTTGAGACCCCAAATCGCCCCCACCCCAATATTTATTCCAGAAGGTTCCCATTCTAAAAAAAAATGGAATTTTGATAATTTTTTTTTTTCTAAAATGCAGGTATTTCATTATAGTTTTATTTATTTTTATTTTTATTTTATTATTTATCTCTAATGAAACCGATAGTTCAAATCCT